TATATATATATATATATATATATATATATATATATATATGTACATGTACATGTAAACATATGTAAGTGTCCAGGGTACCGCAGATTTACAAAGCTCTATTTTTACTGTATGAGGAGGAGTTGAACAGTCTTAAAGGAAGTCCTTTGCCTGAGGGACAAAGAACTTCCTGAATCTGTCTCTGTGGAGCTGGGCTGGGACAGCAGTCTACCGCTGAAGGAGCTCCTCTTCTTCATGAAGGCACTGTGCAGAGGATGGTCAGCATTGTCCATGATGGATAGTAGCTTACTGAGCTTACTTATTCACTGTTGTCTGTCCATCCGTTCATCCATCCATCCATCCATTATCTTTACCTGCTTCTTCCTTTTCGGGTCGTGGGGGTCACTGGTGCCCATGTCCAGCCATCACTGTCAAGAGGCGGGGTACTGGACAGGTCTCCTGTCCATCACAGGGCCATAAAGAGACAAACAACCATTCACTCTCCCTCTCTCTCACCTAGGGACAATTTAGAGTTACCATCAGTCTAACATGCATGTTTTGGTCTGTGGGAGGAAACTGGAGCACCCAGAGAAAACCCACGCATGCACCAAGAGAACATTCAAACTCCACCCAGAAAGGTCCCCAGCCGGGATTTGAACCGGGGTGACCGACTCACTGAGAGGCGGCAGCTCTACCAACTGAGCCACGATGCTGCCCATAAACTGTTGTCTGTTAGCAAAATAACTCACAAAGCAATGGATGGATTCTGATGGAACTCATTAATTAATCAGTGAATGCACATCCTCAACTGATTACCTTTTGGAGCCAACCCAAGTCAAGATGCCTACCCAGACACAACGCCCACCAGGACATCCAGGCCCCCACAAGACAGATCCATAACCAGGGGTGCAGACAAAAATTGATTCATTAATCTAGATTCCTAGTCCTGGCGATTCTAAATAGATTCTAAAAGCCCCAAAATCGATTTTAAAATGTGTTTAAGTTTTTTTTTTTTCCACGCTTACACCTGAGAGTACTGCATATCGCATTACGTGTCCACCCGTCAGCGTCGAACTTGGCCGTGTAGGCCACCGTACAGCAAGCTAGTTAGTGAATGGAGTCTGCAAGCATGGAGCCGGAGGACAGCATGATTCAACCAGCTCATTTGTTTTATAAAGTCATTTTTGATCCTACAATGTTCTGCGAAAGACAGAGCTTAATAAGAGCATGGTTGGTTGCAAGAGATGTAAAAATAAAATTACAGTACAGTATTTTGGAAATACAACAAAATGCTTGGAAGATGAAAAGCGAAAGCAGCAACCAGTGAACTCTGCAACAAACTTCCAGCTAATTCCCCAAAGGCTGTGAATAGTTCCCTCTCCATCTCCTGCTATCACTAAGGATTTATAAGCAAACAGCTCAGTGGAAGGTGAGGGGATTAGTTTTATTTTTAATACGATGGACTCAACATACGTTATTCCTTCACATAAATTTTTTTTATTGATAAAGCTGTGCCACAACTCCACCATGAAACAAAAGTAAAGTGGGAGTCTGACTAATGCACCAGCTGCAGCTCAAAGGTAACTGTTTTTTCTCATTTTATACTAAAACTTATAGACAAGTTGTACAACAAACTTTATGTAATTTGTCTTTTTAACAGGTTGAAGAGATGAGACGCATCACCTGGAGCCAGTTCTAAATGGTAAAAGGTAAATGGACTGTACTTATATAGCACCTTTCTATCTTATTTCAAGATCCTCAAAGCTCTTTACAACAATCTGTGCCTCATTTACCCATTCATACAGCTCTATACTAGATCTCTACAAAGATAATTGAACAAATCATTCTAAAGAGACTAATCAGAGCTTTATCACATTCATACACTGATAGGACACATCAGAGGCTATGAGGGGTTCAGTGTCTTGCCCAGGGACACTTCAGCATGTGACTGCTGGTGGATTTGAACTCCAAACTCTTGCATTGGAGGACGACTGCTCTAACCACTCAGCCACAGCCGCCCCGCTCTAAATTATACAGTTTAGATGGTTTATTAATTATTACAGTTCAGAAGAGTTTTTGTGCAAACTTGCACAAGTTTTGAAATTTTGTTAAAGATTTACCAAATATGAATCAATATAGTTCTGTGAAGCCTGTATATTTTATATTAGGTTAAGTTTAGAAAATATAACAAATGTTAGAGCAATATGGTTAAAAAAAAACTGTGAAGTCTGTATTTTATGTTGAGTTAAAGTTTAATGTGCTATGGTAGGCTG